GAGGGAGGGTGATAAACATAGAATATACGATTACAAAAACCGTATCATGCCATGATTCTACATGATTATTTTTTTCCATATTTAGCTTGGCATGACAGCGATGCACGGTGATGCACATTAATGTCATATCTGTTAATAGACAAATTTAGGATACCGACTATAATGGTTAGCGTAATTATAGCCTATAATGTTTCTGTATTTCATGTATATATTGTGCTATCATATTCAATACAAGACAGGGGTTTTTGGAAATATTTTTATCATGGTATCAGAGCCAAAGCCTAACATCTTTCCGGTTATTGTCATGGGCCAAAAGTTGCCCTTTAGTTGGGTCAAAAGTACCCTTTGCCTGGTCCGGCAGGCTTCGTTGGAGGGGGTGTGTTGAAAGTCCCACATCACCTACCTCATATCATTTGGTATGGTTTAAATACATGTTAAGCTACTCCACATATTGCCAATTGGTTTTATGTTGGAACCTTAACATTCACTTATTACATTTTATCATATTATCTTATACATTATTATATTTTATATTTATATAATATCTCATATTAATTATTATCTTTTAAATTATTATTATTTTTTAAGTATCTTGAATCTTATATTAAAAAGATTTAATTAGTAAATTTAATTTTATTACTCTTCTCAAATATATTATTTTTTGTCTAAAATTGATTTTAACATTGAAATATTTTTTAACATCATTCTATATATTTTCTTTTAAAGAAAATGAGTTATTTTGAAGGTACAATTTAGAATCTGACCTAACGAGTTTTTCGATTCAAAATCACACGTTTATACCGACTTCTACCAACATCACACTCTCGTATGGAATTCTATTAAGATAAGAACACTATTAATATTTAAATATTATATATATTTACTATAATTGTGTTAATGATAGTATTATCGTCCTATATAATTTTAGTTTTAATCAGTCTTTCGTTATTAAATAAAATGCAAGATGGTTGCTGCAAGTTAACAACTTTTTTTTTTTAAATCTATTATGAACAAAATTTATCTATAATATCACATGCTCTGCTAATATATGCATCTCATGGCATCTTATCAGATGCATTCCATATTCCTAAGAAACCTTGGTGTTATTCTCTAATTATGTTTAGAGTTTATCAGATGCTACCTTTTTTCTTTTTTCTATTTTTGTTTAAAAGTTTCTTATTCATATAAAAAATTTATGTGGAAGAATTTTTTAAATTAAACAAACTTATTTATATAAACAAGACAACTGAAGAATTACAAAAAATTATTGATCAATAAAATATTTACAGAGCTACATCTTAAGAATTTAATACTAAATTCACTTACAGCTCTCTTGATATTTTCTGATTAGTTAAAAAAAAAGTGGCCGAATTTTGTAATAGATGAATCTCAGAAAACTATATTGACCAAAATTAAATTAATTATTTATTATTTCGTAAGTTTCATTCATTTAAATAATTGAATGTAGCACATGTATACATAGTTAAATGGGACGGAAATAATAAAAGAAGAATTTTGCACATGACAAATTAGTGGTGTTAAATCTTCATTTATGAGTAGAAAATCATGTTTATATACTTACAAGTACTGTTTAAAGGTAAGTTATACTATTCTTAATATATATAAGTAACGAACCCTTACTATTGAAAAGATGTTTAAAAAATATTTAATAATAATATAAAATAATATTAAATGAGATACATAATAGATTAAATGTATCAGCAAAGTTAATAGTACGTGAAGTAACATTGTTATTTTTCATTTTATAAGTATCTTTAAATCAATTGCTTCATAAAATATAACAATATGTAATTTTGCATCTAAAAAAATAAATAAATAAAATTAAACCTTTTCAACGTATTATTAATCTGAATTCTTATATATTTTTTAATTATCTTATTTAAAATAATAAAATATAAAAATTATGAAACAAATTTTTATGATATAACATTTTGTATATTTTCAGAAAAAACATTATAATATTTAAAATGAAAAAATGGAAGTAAGTTATTAAATTTGAAAAAGTTATTCTTAAAAAATAGGTGAAATAGTATTTTTATAAATTAAATTAATTTATATATAAGTAAAAATAAAAATCTTCAAAGATTAATATAATTTTTTAATGAAGATTTAGAAAGAAAGACATTCAACATTTTATTTATGCATGAAAGTGAGTGTAAAAAGAGTTAACTTTCTCATATAATTAGTTGATCATAGATTATATTAAAATTAAGAAAGCTTAATTTAACTTGTTTTTTTTTTTTAAGTAAAATTTTACAATTTGATTTATGTCATTATAGGTTGATGGTTAAACCATTTAAATATGTGTATTTTCATAATTATTTTTTATTACATTAAATTATTAAAATAAATAAGTTAAATTAAGTGGATGGATCACTATTTTTTTATTTCATAAATTTACATTAACACATTAATAGAAAAAGATGAAAATATATAAAAAAAAAACAGGTCAAGCTGATACCCAATCAACTTGAATCTCTTTAACCCCAGACTTGTTTTAATCTTTTATTAACAAATTTAAATTTTTTTAACCTAAGACAACTCAATCCAGTTGAGACTCGTGTTCACAGCCTTGTTAAAGGTAGTTGAGGTTTTGAGAAATGGGAAGGGAATTAAGAAAGGACAGGATGGTGGGGTCCAGAGAGTTGATGAGAGATTGAGGGAAGAAGAGAAAGATAAGGTTCGGTGAATTGTAGGTAGCAGTAGAATAGTTGCTGTCGACAACACCTTCATTTCCATCCACAAAAGGGTCAGTGGGATATACCACAATTTTAATGGGACACTATCACAAACAGAACAAGATCAGAAACATGATATACTGCTAACAACACATGCATCCTCAAACCAGGTTTCTGAGGAGGTTTGGAACAACCTCAAATCATATGCACTGTTTTTCTGCTATTCTCAACTTCACTTGTCTTTAGGGGCAATACATGCAACGTTTCCCATATTTTAGAACATAAAATAATCGTTAGTTTTGAAATATTGTGAACTATATAGGTTCATAAATAAAAAAAATGAAAATATTTTTAAAAGACATTTTTAATTTCCTAACTCTAACAAGAAAATGTTTAATTTCCTAATTCCAATCCGATTATTATTAATTTATGATTATATTTTTTTCCAATTAATCCTATGAATCTTAAATACATAAAGGTTAAATAGGTAAATTAGTCCCTTTATTTTTTTAAATATTTTAATGTAGTCCTAAAATTTTTAATTTAGACATGAATATTGAAATTGATGTCAATTTTCGACTACCGTTATTTATGTTTTGACTCCGTTATATTAGATGTCTAGTTGAAGTATCAATTCTGATATGGTTAGGTAATTAGTTATAGTTACGTGAAAAATTGCCACCTCACATTAAAATTGCAGGAATAAAAGAATAGGGGTCACAGATGTGTTTAGATATGAACAATTGAGGGTTTGTGCAAATGAGTTAGGGAAAACGTGAAGATCTGCAATGTTGACTCCTTCTTCGTCTCTGCTTTCTCGTCGACGATGGTCGTTTATCACTGCTCCTCTCTCGTTATCGCCGTTCCTTTGTCGTCGTAGTCGGTCGCAAGTAGTTTCTCTCGCGTGCTCGACTTTGCTGTCGTCGCAGGTCCCCTTTCCCTCGTCGTTGGAAACAACTTGCTCCCTCGATGTCGTCATCGCAACCCCTAAATGGAATCAACCTCCTCTTCCTTCGTCATAGTCAATCTCACACACGATGGTGATTGAAACCCTAAATCCCCACTGTCGTCACAAATGAAACTCCCACCTCCCCTGTTGTTGTAGATCCTCTCACTTTCCCTCACCCATTTGCTCAACCTCTCAATTGTTCAAACCCTAAACACATCCTATAACCAATCACCTAACCACATCAGAACTGATACTCCAACTACACATCTAATATAACGGAGTCAAAACATATATAATAATAGTCCAAAATTAACATCAATTTCAATTTTCATGTCTAAATTAAAAATTTTAAAAATTTTGGGACCACATTAAAATATTTTAATAAATAAAAGGACTAAATTATCTATTTAACAATATATAAATCTTTGTAAAATGATTTCTGTCACTTTTTATTTTGGATGGGGAATCCAAAATATAGAAATAAATTTTAGATTGCGAGAAAGAAACTGGCCATTGCATGTAATTTGTAAATTGGGTTGTGATTGGGCCTATAACTATAGGACAGTCTCAAAAGCCCACTGGACTAATGATTCTAGATATTCGGTTTTATTTTATATTATTATTAAAAATCTTTTAATTATTTTTGATTATATGTTAATCTTTTTATTTTGATAATGTCATAAATATTTACTCTGTCCGTAATGTTGTCCATTGTCTAGTTCGATATTAGAATATGTGCAATTTATTTATTTTTAAAATAAATGAGACAAAAATATTCTGATCGTAATTAGAAAGCTATATAGCATTATTATTGATATATGGCGTCAGGGGTCATGGACACGCAACATTAGGTAGCATGTAAGGTAAAAATATAAACGAACATTGAAAAGACAAAAAATTAATCAAATAATTGAAAGTTTAAAATTGATAATATCTTAAGTACAATATTGTTTGATTAATTCTTGAACAAAAGAAGCAGCATACATAACGCAATCATTGATACCAGCGCATAATATACGTAGCTATTTAAAAATTAGACCAACAACCACCCCATACAACTTGACCTATTAACATACTCCATGCATCCCCATCTACATAATCATATATGATAACTCTCAGGGCAAGTAACAATAATTTCAAACATATAATAAACTACACAAATACTAAATTCTTAGACATATCGTAAGGGATTGTTAATTTGCTTAATTAACGCGTGTAATGCGCACTTTTTTGTCTTACACAGGTTAAATATGCACCTTAATTCTCCTATATATACTGTTTCTGTCCATGCAATTTGCTTAAACAAAACATAATTGTAGGCTTTTCTCGTAGGAACATTGAGAGTTTATAAAATGGCTCTTAGATGGGTTCTCTACTCAGCTTGCCATGTTTTGGGGTACCCTACGAAAGAAGAAGAGTGCAAGAAGATCGAAGGGTGCCCTAATGGAGAGGTGAAGAACGTGAAGGGGTTGTGCCCTTCAAACAATTTGAACGAGGTTGATCACCACAGATTTTCAGGGTTTCAAATGCCACTTCACTATCCACGCTACACCAAACAGGACTATGAGAGTATGGAGGAGTGGAAGGTGGAGCTGCTTCTTAAGCAATATGGATTAAGTTTCAAGGGTACCCTTGACGAGAAGAGAGCTTTTGCAATGGGAGCATTCTTGTGGCCATGATCATGATCGAAAGAATGTCTTATTTTTTCTCGAAAAGTCTTTATGCTAAATGATAATGAATGAATGTTTTCAAGTTTTGCGTACTTGACCGTGGTATAATGTGTCTATCTATGTTATGTATGTGGCCAAGTACGGTTGTATTTGTTGTTGTTTTCATGAATGGTATATAGAGATATTAATTGCTTGGTGTTCTTTGCTGGGGTTGAGGTGGTTGATGATGATGATGATACCTGTCGGCAATGTGGCAGTTCTGTTTCCACAGAAAGCACTTCATCGTGCTTGTTCACGCATCTAGTTGCCAATTATTGGTCTCTTAAACCAGTTTAACCGTGGTGAAAAGGTGGTGCCAATACTAACACGAGATTAGTTATCTTTTAACGATTAAAGTTCATGTTTAATATTTAACGAAAGAGTTATTTGGACGTTTTCGTTATTGTGGTTGAGACAAAGTGTAATGGGGTTGGATAATAATGGAACGTTGTGCATGATTCAATGCTTGAAGACTCAAATATTTGGTTCCGTGGTTTTGTTGCTTTCCAGTGGGAGGGGTTGTATTGACGACAACCCTGATTATAGGACAAACATGACACGTGGTCACGTATTGAAAAGCTTTTCTAGAGAAGCTTCAACATTGATGATTAAACTATAATATTCTTTCTATATCCACAAATTTTTGTGGTCTATGATTGTACCCAAAATGTCTCAATAATTATGGAATGAGTAGGTGGTGGTAACATAGTCATTACCACTTCATTGGAATAGCAATGTTCTTCTTTACACTCACGTATGTATAATACATTTAAATAATATTTTTTTCGTGACAATCAATGGACTTGATCCTTAACGTTTACATGAAATAATGTGTTATAACAAAAATATTATTAATTTTTTTACACGTTTATGTATCTTATTGTATTAATATGTTTTTTTTTTTCTTTCTATCTAAAAGAAGTTTTATATTTGCGACAAAACGCATGAAACAAATGGTAACAGAAGAACTGAAGGAGATGTGGTAACCCTCAGATGATCGATCATGCGTGATAGGGCCCAGGAATTTCAGGATGTACACAAATTATTGAGTACGTATTGTTGAGGAAATTAAACACGAAATGTTTTTCTTTTACCTGGCTAATGGGGAAGAAAGGTAACACCTAGAACCTTCATTTAGCATCACCTTCCATTATTTACTTTCAAATATTTTTCCAAAATATTGTTGTTGTCTCTTTTATTTTGGTCTAGTTGTTAAATACTAATGTCAGAAATTGAGGTTCGGAACACAATTGAAAACTTCCAATAATGTTATGTAATTATTGTGAGTTTTGAAATTTTTCTTGTGCATACCTTTCTGATGTCCGTATGATCCATAAAAATTCGGCCATTTGGCTAAGTTACGTACGAACCCAATAAATCACTGTAGCTTTAGGCTTGGTATAAATAGATGGGAACATGGAGTTCCGTGTTCACTCAACACCACAAGAACCCACCAAGACACAAACTACAGGAACACAATTCATCATTTACTTCAAAAATCATCTCCTCAAACTCTCTCAAGTTTTCAGTACACAATTAATTTGTGCTTTCTTTTACAGAAGAGTTAGGAATAAAGGTAGCAACTAGCTTGCAAACATGGATCAAAACAAAAGTGAGGATCAGGTTTGGAGGGAATATTTCAATAGCAAACAGTTTTTGAAAAGAATACTTTGCAGTTCGTTCTCTCAGTTTCTGTGTTTTCTATTTTTGTGTGGTACTCTTCTGGCTTTTTCATACACCCTCAGTCCTTCAATGCCTACTTCTCCACGTGCCTTTTATCCATGTTCACTCACACCCTTGAGAGAAAATACATGTTCCTTATTTGTAACGGAATCCTTGCATTTGTAGCCAAGACTTTGCTCATGAACTCCTCAGATTCTGACTTTGACCAGCTTCTACCTTCCAATCTGTCAGAGACAAAAACAACAACAGTTTCTGACATGGTAGTTGCCCCTCTGATGGAAAGTTTTGCATCCCCAGAGAATATTCTTCTTGTGGTTGATGAGCAAAAGGGGCAAGAGGAATACAATGAAGAAGTTTCAGAAGATGAAGACCAAGAACAAGAGATCTTGTGTGCCAAAACCGAAGGAAGAGAAAGCGAAGGTTACATTAGAGAAGAGGAGATCACAGAAGGAGAATCAGAGAGTGAGGTCGAGGTGGCACAAGATGATGATCTAGCAGAAACAACTAGTACAACAAATAATGAAGAGTTATTAAATACGGATGAACTCAACAGAAAGTTTGAAGAGTTCATAAGGAAAATGAGAGAAGAGATAAGAATTGAAGCTCAAAGACAGCTTATTGCAGTTTAATTAGTGCATTTGATATAATAAAAAATGACAAAGAATAAAGTTGTTGAGTCTGTTTCAAATAACTAAAGCCTTATTTATAATGGTTATCTTTTGTTGTAACTTAGTCACTTTTGTTACATGTAGTGCTATCCATTCCATGATTTCCATCTGAAGAGCTTCTTTCCTTTTCAGTATGCAGAATTTCTGTCATGTCGTTTAGTTAGTGTGGCGTTGCATCTTTTAATTCAATAGTAAGCACATCCTCCATATGCATGGAACCAGTCATTGAATATGAGTTTAATTCAATATCTCAAATTGCATGATACAAAAAGAGATCTAGAATGATATATATTCCAAGAATTTTCCAGACAAAGAATATGATGGCTTGCTTAATGGAGATTTTTTTTATGTGAAGGCAATACAGGGTAGGACAGTAACGTAGAAAAAACGGTACAAGAATCAATGGGGGGAATAAATATTAATATTTATCAATGATTATATATATAAATATAAAGTATCTCAATTGTTGAAGTAGAAAGAAAGACAAATTAAGATCAATAGGGGAAATGATAAAAAAATTTATTTGAACTAAAATGAATAAAATATTTTGATGGCAAACTATTATGAGCCATGCTATTTTTCCCCAAAATTTTCACAAACGCCTTTAAGTTCATATTATAAGGTAGTTTAACCTTAGTTTCGGATCTAAATTACAGATGTTAAACTATAAAAAAATAATAAAAACATAAATGTGATCGTTAAAATTGAAAATGATATTGCCAAAAAATATTGCAAATGATAACAGCTCTAGATGCTACGACCATTGTTGATATTTTAATTTTTTTGTAAAAGAAAACGCCAATTAGCGTTTTTAGGGTTCTCTTATGATTGAGATTTGGAGAAGTGAGTTTTTTTTTTTAATTATTATTTAATGTTTTTTTAAGTATGATTTTTCGATGTAAATATGTAATACAACTTTAACAATGTGTAATTGTCGGAAAAGGACCAAAATAAAAATAATATTATGAGACTAAACATTTATTTAAGTCATAAAAAATAATAACATATTACCTGTGTTGTTTCATTTAAATGGTCCACGTAATTTAGACTAGTTAATTATAGATGAATTAATTTTGGGTAGATACATTTTTTTTCTTGTGACAATTTGATGACTCTTAAAGCACTAATTATAGAAAGCTGAATCCTTTAATTTAATTTTTCAATATCTGGTTTATTTTCATAAATTTATTTTTTGAATATTTTTATAACTACAATTCAGTGAAATTTTAGATAATTTCCTTAAAGAAATTTGTGTATTTTTTATACTTTGATTCTTAATAAGGATGAGTGATAATTTATAATTTGGTAACAAAAATAACTGACTTCTTAAAATTTTATAACAGACTAATTTGGTTATTAATATTTTTAAAGGATGTTGCAACACATAATAATTTGGAACATTAACTTGGTAGTTTTTTCTACAAAAGATTGAAAATCCCATTAAAAAATAGAATGATTTTTTATATTAAAATTATAAAAAATGCTTAACTTTTTTTTTTTCATTTTATTCAAAGCATTTTATATATCTCTTTTGGGATAATTGTGTTATTCTGTAGGATTTATTTAATGCTTCCTACTCAATATATTATGACACACATTAACAGAGTTAAAAAAAAAACTATCTTTAAAATGAAAAAGAAAATCTCCTCACAAAAATAATTTTTAGTTTGAACTAGATTGAATCTCATAAAGGATAGTTGCGGTGTTGGAATTAAAAAAAAAAAAAATTAAAAAAGCCTATCACTTTAACATGGTGGCGTTTGCATTATCAGTTTGATATATTTTTTCTAAAACATCCTTAGAATTCTTTTATATTTGACAAATATTAAATTACATTTGAGTTTTTAATAAATTTCTTAAATTTTGAAACGCATAATAAATGGCATCGATACTTTTCTGGTGGCCAAGAAAGTGAACAGTGTTATTCTTGATCAATCTTTGTATTGTGACCAACTATCATGGACAGGGTCACTATACTCCCCCTATCAGGGAGGGACCCTCTTATTGAACATGAGGATTTGATGAATGGAACGAATCACGTCAAAATATCATGGCAAACATTTACCTGTTCAGCCTTAAAAGGAGAAATCTAGAAGGGTCAGGTACACTTGCATGATGAGGGCGAAGCCATGCAACTTAATAACACACAACCAATTATATTTGTTGCCACACGTTCGAACAACTGGAATTATATACGCGTGCAACATAATTGCCTATAGCATGGATCAGACAGCAACGGTCTTTAACAAAGTAATAACTGTTGAAAACTTGTCTACGAAAAATGACATTTGATTGTAAAAAGACAAATGCACAACTCGCAGCCCTATGTTCCTTCATCAGTCACTCAGGTGGGTCCAAATGTTCAGGTAAGAAGATGGGAGGAAAAAAAAATAATTGAAGAGAATGTGACAACTACTTCACCTCACACACAAACTTACCAATTCAAAGGAGTTAGCACACATTACATTTATATCAAATAGGAGAAGAAAGATATGAAAACACAAATATTATGGTATTAATCACACAGACTCTAGCAAGTTAATATAAAATTGCTTTAACAAATTAAACTAATGAAAATATGATCCCTGTAGTGCTTGTCCGGAGTTTTCCATTAGTATCCATTCGTATCAACAGTGAATCTTGAGACTCATCATTACAGTAATTGTTTGTTATAATTTCAGTCAGTTTATCAGAATTTCAGATAAGTTACGCGTATAGTTAGACAATTATTAAATTACTTGTACCAACTTAGATTTATATAAAAGATTGGTTATTTTACCAAATCATAGTTAATTCACAGTTTACGCCTTATTTCATCTGGCATGATAGCTTAATTCATTCCTCAATTTAAGTTTAATATTCTATCTGTTAGTTTGGGAAAGATTATATTTTCAAGGACGTATATTTGATGTCTAAGGTAGACAAATGTCCTCACATTTTCTTGTTCCAATTTTGTAAATTCTACTACCAACAGTTGTAACAATGCCACATTATGGCATCAACATTTGGCTGAAAGGAGTTTAATTACTAGAGCAATAAGATTCTTCTTGCAATGTTGAATTCGTAAAAAGTAAGAGTATGCTTTCAAGCAAATTCTCTGGGCATAATGAACTTCCTTTATCGCTTGTACAGGAGAAAACAAAGCTGTAGGCACTAATGCAACAAAAATAAATAAATCTAAATGTACATGTAAATAGCTGAAAGTGATTTTGACACTTTCCTTTCACCACTTTCTGTGCATGCATTCTTTGCTTAGTCACTTCTGACATGTTCATGCAGACTCCAAACTAAACACTCCAAACTAGTTGGATGGTGAAACTGACATGTTCATGCAGCCTCCATCAGCCTCAGGGAGATTTCTAACTTCATTAAGAATCCTAGTAAGTTCTTTTGTCAGTTGTTTACGCGCGTAGTCAGATCTTTCCTTTGTAATTGATGATTCTTTAAATAAAGTTTCAGCTAGGGACTGATATTCTTGAAACCATTCCCCACAAATACCTTGATTAGTATCATGATCATCAACAAGTAATGAGCATTCCCGTCTCCACCTACCTAAAAAGTATTTCTCAGGTAACTGAAAGTAATTCTTTATTACAAATACACGAAGAGCATGCCTACAAAGTATTCCTGAGGATTCAAATTCCTTGCAAGAGCAATGTATCTGATCATCTTCAGCCAACCATATTACAAGATGTTCTCCATTCATCCTTTTGAAATGCCGGACTATACACGATCCGTTGGCCATTTCGGATGCAGCATATTGCATTGCCAGTACCAGCTCTTGCTGCAAGGCATTGAAAGCAAAAGGAGTGAGAATACTCCGTGCATGCTCTTCAATCGGTATGCAAGTTTTGAGATGAATATATTGAGTCTCCTGAAGCGCTTGATGTTGAAAACTTGCAGAAATGCCAACCTGCAACAATATCCACAAGGGGTAAGAAAATCATTAGAAAGACAAGTGAGCATTGTTTAATTGCTTAACTCATTAAACATTCCATTTTGATGGCAATTTTATTAATTTCTTGAACTTTGAAACTTTATCATACCCCATATTGTTAGTTCGTAAATAAAGTAGAAAAATAGGTTAGATATTAGAATAACAAATTTGGTGCATTTTCCCGAGTGTTTTATGATGTTGATGCAGGAACAAAATTTAGCAAAGGAACTCGGAGTGAAGAGAGAATAAAGAGCAACCCAACACTTTTGGATTGGATTTAATTTGCTAAGAAAATTGGACAAAAACACAAGAATTTTGTTTGAAGGAAATTCTCTTGGCGAATTGGATTTGCTCAGCCAAACTAATGGTGTAAAACCTGGAGGTGCCACCAGAGGAAATTCACTCAGCAAGAATAATCTGCTAATTGAAAGTATCAAAATTTAGTTTCCCTGTTTCTAGAATTGAAATATATAAATAGGTTTTTTAAAAAGAAAAACAGAAAGGGAATAACAGGGAACTGCGAGAAGAAGGCACAAGGTAGACTCCATCAAAGCCATTGGGAAAGCTTGAAAAAGAGGATCTTCACTAAGTCTCTCATTATCTTCATGCTAGCTTGTTTCCTTGTCATCATCATGTGTACCTAGTTTCTGCCTAGTTGGGAATAAATGTAACCATTCAACTCTTTGTATTATTTTTTATTATCTAAATATATTTAGTTCTTCTCTATCTTTGTTAGTGATTAAATCTTTGTGTTTAATGCTTTATATGGTTGAGAAATCATAATTTGAACCTTGAATGTGGAAATTCAGTGGGAAGTGTTTCTATGTTTTGTTATAGACTGAATTATCTATTTTGTTATCTAAGAATAGAGTTTAACTGATTAGCTATTTGATATTGCTAATCTTAATGCGAGTTCTCTTGTTAAAGAATTGGTATTTAAGGAGAAAACTTATAAATTAATTATTGAGGGATCAAAAGTTCACTATATTAATAAACACAGAGATGAAAATTGATATATAAGGGT